AAAAAAAAAAGAGAGGCAGAGCATTGTTTGTATTTTTTGCTGTGGGGGATTGGTTTTGAGCTTCTTGTATCTGGAGCTAGCTTGTTCAGAAGGCCAGCCGCCTCATCTGGGTCCCTTTAGAATCTTGCTCTGAAGAGCCTGAGGAAGTTTATATTTTTTGGGTTTTGGTTGATCTTTTGAAAGGGGTTCCGGCTCTGAGTGCTGGGTTGAAGGCCTTTTTATTGGTTTTGGAAAGGAAGGAAAAGATTGTGTTTTCGGTTACATTTTCCTTCTGTCTCTTTGTTTTGTGAAAGTGTTTTTGGTGCATTGGAATGTGGAGGGACGCTGGAACTCCTGCTGATTCGTTCTATGAAATCCGTCCTGAGTGTACTGATGTACCCAAAACCCGCTTCAAAATCAAGGTTCTTTTTTTAATTTTTTAATTTTTTTTTTCTGTACTCTTTTGTATTGCTGGAATTCATATAAAGGTTGATTCTTTAGATACCCATTATCTTAATTTGGATCTGTCACCCATTCGAAAACCAAGATATTGCCTAATGCATCAGATTTGATAATGGGTGTTGCGAGATTTTAGTTAAGAGCACGACTTGGTGTTAATATGGATCACAAAGTGATGTGCAGTGGGAAAATTCTATAGAAACTAGTTTGTGCAATTCTTTTGTTTGTAAGTATTCTCAGGTTTGGACATTTTATCTCTTTCTCCTTTCCCATATATCATGGTACGTTGGTAAGGCCAACTTTGCTAACTTGATCACCAAAGTACCACGAATTGGAACACTTGACCCGGATCATGATTCCCAGAGGTTAGGGGAATCTGTTAACCCCAATAGGAAGATTATTTGCTTGTTTTAACGCTTGTAAACAACAAGAAGCTTTTGAATACAGTTTAATAGTTTAAACATGCAGAGTATATCAACATGGGTATTTCTATACATACTTATTGACCCAAAAAAAAAAAGGGTGACATTCTAATAGTTTAAAGATGCATTATGTATGCTATGAAGGGAAATGTCTGCAATTTTCCCATTACTCCATAAGGTATTCATTTTCTCAATGCCATGATGTGTTTCCCCCAATTTCAACGCCTTGTTTTTATTTGCCTATGCAGGCAGGCAAAACTTTAAGTGTAAGGAAATGGCAGGCTGCATTTTCTCCAGAAGGGTATCTGGATTTAGGCAAAACTTTAAGTCGAATCTATCGTGGGGTGAGTGAATCTTTATGATTCCATGATTGCAACTTAATATGCTTAGATCTGTTCAGTATATTGGCACAATTCAGTTTTGCATTTTTGTGTAGCTATTGATAAGCTAGTTTAATCAGATATTATAAGGTCTTGAGAATTCTGATCAATACTTGCCCATACAAGTTTGGTATGTATTATGTACACTGATTAAGAGCTGAACTCACTTTTTTCTTTTTTCTTTTTTTGTATGGTAAAGAAACGAAAGCCTACTATTGCTCCTACTGGCACGTTTAACCCGTAGCCTGTGTATATGATTGGGGATATGTAGAAACCAGGCTAAATTATTTCATTAGCCATTACTGTTGTAAAACCTTTTTATTGGTTTTGGAAAGGAAGGAAAAGATTGTGTTTTCGGTTACATTTTCCTTCTGTCTCTTTGTTTTGTGAAAGTGTTTTTGGTGCATTGGAATGTGGAGGGACGCTGGAACTCCTGCTGATTCGTTCTATGAAATCCGTCCTGAGTGTACTGATGTACCCAAAACCCGCTTCAAAATCAAGGTTCTTTTTTTAATTTTTTAATTTTTTTTTTCTGTACTCTTTTGTATTGCTGGAATTCATATAAAGGTTGATTCTTTAGATACCCATTATCTTAATTTGGATCTGTCACCCATTCGAAAACCAAGATATTGCCTAATGCATCAGATTTGATAATGGGTGTTGCGAGATTTTAGTTAAGAGCACGACTTGGTGTTAATATGGATCACAAAGTGATGTGCAGTGGGAAAATTCTATAGAAACTAGTTTGTGCAATTCTTTTGTTTGTAAGTATTCTCAGGTTTGGACATTTTATCTCTTTCTCCTTTCCCATATATCATGGTACGTTGGTAAGGCCAACTTTGCTAACTGGATCACCAAAGTACCACGAATTGGAACACTTGACCCGGATCATGATTCTCAGAGGTTAGGGGAATCTGTTAACCCCAATAGGAAGATTATTTGCTTGTTTTAACGCTTGTAAACAACAAGAAGCTTTTGAATACAGTTTAATAGTTTAAACATGCAGAGTATATCAACATGGGTATTTCTATACATACTTATTGACCCAAAAAAAAAAAGGGTGACATTCTAATAGTTTAAAGATGCATTATGTATGCTATGAAGGGAAATGTCTGCAATTTTCCCATTACTCCATAAGGTATTCATTTTCTCAATGCCATGATGTGTTTCCTCCAATTTCAACTCCTTGTTTTTATTTGCCTATGCAGGCAGGCAAAACTTTAAGTGTAAGGAAATGGCAGGCTGCATTTTCTCCAGAAGGGTATCTGGATTTAGGCAAAACTTTAAGTCGAATCTATCGTGGGGTGAGTGAATCTTTATGATTCCATGATTGCAACTTAATATGCTTAGATCTGTTCAGTATATTGGCACAATTCAGTTTTGCATTTTTGTGTAGCTATTGATAAGCTAGTTTAATCAGATATTATAAGGTCTTGAGAATTCTGATCAATACTTGCCCATACAAGTTTGGTATGTATTATGTACACTGATTAAGAGCTGAACTCACTTTTTTCTTTTTTCTTTTTTTGTATGGTAAAGAAACGAAAGCCTACTATTGCTCCTACTGGCACGTTTAACCCGTAGCCTGTGTATATGATTGGGGATATGTAGAAACCAGGCTAAATTATTTCATTAGCCATTACTGTTGTAAAAAGTCAGATTAAATATTGCTTAATTTTCTTTCAAACATTTGTGCACGTAATAACTAGATGCTTCCTTTCTGACTTATCTTCTTAAGTCTGGCAGTTGTTTTCTTTTTATTTGAAATAATTTTCTTCATGAATATAACAATTTAATCATTTGCTTAATGCCTTAATGTATTAATTTTGCCAATCAGGGGATCCATCCATTAATTAGAGGAGAAGTTTGGGAATTTCTACTTGGTTGTTTTGATCCTAAGAGCACATTTGATGAAAGAGAGCAGATGCGGCAACGTCGAAGGTATTTCTTGTTTCCTGCCTTACTTGGGCTACTGGAAATTTATATATTTATTTACCTTCTTTTAGTCTAATAAAGTTTCCTAGTAGGATGCACACTTGTAATTATAAGATGATCTTTTGGGAAATGAATGATCAATGTCATGAGTTGAGCTTTAAGGCTATGATACTGAAGTGAATAAAATTAGCTGACAACAAAACAATATAATGTGGGAACATGCTAGCAAAAGACTTAATGCTTTCCTCTTCATAAGATAGGGATCGACATCCTTATTTTGTGTGGGATGTGTATATTCCAAATCTGCAGGATATATATATAATTTCCTACATCTTATGCTTCACCTGTCCCATTATTGTGTAATGATTGCTTAAGCATCATGCTTTTCCCTTTTCAGAGTGGAATATGCTAGGTGGAAGGAAGATTGCCGTCAAATGTTTCCTGTTGTTGGAAGTGGTAGGTTTATCACTGCCCCTGTAATCAGTGAAGACGGTCAGCCCATTCAGGATCCCTTAGTGCTTTCACAAATGAATCCAGACAAGGGAGCTGATGGTAACCGTGCTAATGGTATAGAACCGGTGACGGACAAGAAAGTAATCCAGTGGATGCTTACTCTACATCAAATAGGTTTGTGATAAATTCATATGAATTTTTAAGGAATTTTTTTTTTATAAACAAATTTCAGTTCCACAACTCAGGCTTTTCTTTTTGGTTGATTCTCTGTTTTCACCATGTCTTCTTTTACTTTGATTTAATTAGTCTGTCAAGTACTTATGACACTATTACAACTCTTTGCCTTTTCTACATGCGACAAGTACTGAACATGATTTATTGTATTTTTTTCTTCAAATTTTATTTGGTGATTTGGCGAATAACTTTTCTGTTTGAATCTTTTTATGTGCCAGGTCTTGATGTGGTTCGCACTGACAGGACACTGGTGTTTTATGAGAAGCAAGAACACTTATCAAAACTTTGGGATATTCTAGCTGTTTATGCCTGGATAGATACAGATGTGGGCTATTGTCAAGGTGGGTAACATATTGCATGATCATTTTCCAACTGAAGCTTTCATTATAACGATACAAGGAAGAAAAAAAAAGTGAATAATGTTGGTTACAGTAATTTTTGGTATGCCTCCCTACAATTTGAGAGGTGACACAACAATTTTATATTGATTTTGCAACAAAATGCTGGTTCTAATCTCTGAAATTTATGGCCATGGTGAGCAGGAATGAGTGATCTTTGCTCCCCCATGATTATCCTTCTTGAAGATGAAGCAGATGCATTTTGGTGCTTTGAACGCTTGATGCGCAGACTGGTAAAATTATGAACTAAATCTTCAACTTCCTATATTTTTTCTGGTGTTGCATGAAATCAGTGCCATAGCATCCAGTGATTATTTAACATGCTTTCAGTCAATTCTAACATATGGCCTGCTCTTTACTCAGTAAGGTGTTTGTGTGTACACTCACTTTATCTTTTCTTGCTCCTACCGTGTCTGTCTAAACAGTAGGAGATATTTTTCAATTCATACATTAATGAGATTCTTGAGAATTTTTAGTTGATATACTGCTGTCCTTTAAAAAGTAGCTGCAAGATTTTCTTTTCCTTTGAAGTTACATGTTGTTTCTTTAAAGCTACCAAATTATTTGTGATGGTTTTGATTTTTCATTTGGATTCTAGTTTCTTATATCTTGTTTTCTTATTTGAAATTTAAAGCGAGGAAATTTCAGATGTACCGATAGTTCTGTTGGGGTGGAGGCACAACTAAATAATCTAGCTTCAATTACTCAAGTCATTGATCCAAAACTTCATCAGCACTTAGGTATTGACTTACAATTGTATTTTTGTGTTTGCTTGCTCGTGAGTTGGAGAGCTGATTTGGCTTGCGTGTGTCATATCTCTCTTGTACATCCCTCAATGTAATGCTAAAAGATAAAAAGATAGTAACACAAAATGTTCATTTTGGAGTGCAGAGACACTAGGTGGAGGCGACTATTTATTTGCTTTCCGGATGCTTATGGTTTTGTTCCGTCGAGAATTCTCCTTTTGTGATTCTTTATACCTTTGGGAGGTAAGAATAAGTTTCTATTATAACTTTTTGATAATTTCTATTGTCACTTTTGGATATTTTTAGTTGCTATAACAAATTATTGTAAGTGTAAATACTTTGAGGAAATCCCTGGAAGTATTTCTGTGAAACCACATATATAACTTTCATATTTCTTTAGTACTCAAAGCTTCCTCCACAGCTGCAATTCGTTTTCAATACTTCTGCAGATCTTTTGTATTAGACCAAATCTTTTCCTGAGTAAAAGTTGAAAAATTGTACTTAATTTGACAAGTTCTTTCAGAGAATGGATTTTAGGAACTATCGCATGCATTCATATTAAAGACCAAGCCTCTATCCAAATCAAGTTTCCTTAACTCAGGATATAAGTCGTCCATGTTGGACGAGAGAGCAAAGACTTCGTATTTATGACATCATTAAAGGGGGAAAAACAAAAAGAGATCATTTTATCACACAAACATATATGTTCCTTTTTGTTTTCAGCCAAATATATCGTTTTCCTTTGGTGCATGGATGTGTGTGCATGGTATGTTTATGTTTATGATAACAATTGTGCATCTCTTTTCCTGTTTGACAGATGATGTGGGCTCTTGAATATGACCCTGACTTGTTCAGTGTGTACGAAGAGTCTGATACCGATAGTGAAAAGGCCGAAGGATCTAAGGGAAAAGCAAAGTCAATACGTCAGTGTGGGAAGTATGAGAGGGAAAATATGAAAAGTGGAGCAAACAATTCAGAAGCACCGCTCCCAATATCTGTTTTCCTAGTTGCCAGTGTCTTGAAAGATAAGAGCTCAAAGCTACTTACAGAAGCTCGGGGTCTGGATGATGTTGTTAAGGTTTGCATTATGAGTTTAATTTGCAATTCTTTTGAAGCATTCAATTTTATGCTTGCATTGAGGATGACCTTACATCAATTGAGTGGAAAACATGTTCATATGGGGACAGCCCGGTGATACTTTCACCCACTTCTCAAGGACCTTTTCTATTTTTTTTGGTGTTTCCATATGCCCCTGTAGTTTAGAAGCGTGCAATGATACACACCTGTAGTTGAAATAAGGTTGCAATTAAGCCAAAATCCTAAAAATTATAGCTTTTTGTACCTTATTTTGATCATTGTTCTTAAAAATGTCAACTGCATTGTCAAATCCCTTTTTAGAAAGGAAAAAAAAAACATGAAAAGCTATCATTTTTTAGGATTTTGGCTTGATTGCAACCTAATGTCAACTACAGGCGTATGATTAAACGTTTTAAAGGATGAAATTGGAAGCCCCAGCAAACTATAGAGACTAAAAGAGTCTTTTGGCCATTTCTAAAGCCCTAGGCTAAAAGACCAAATAATTATCTAGAGTAGGTTGGCATTGGTGAAGCATCTTTGACCCTTTTAATAAATAAATACTTCTTATCAACTTACCAGTTGGTTGTGTTGGAACTTAACTTTCTTACGAATTTAACCCGTCTGTTTACTAAGTCATCTCTCTCTCTCTCTCTCTCTCTCTCTCTCTCTCTCTCTCTCTCTCTCGACTGGAAATTTAGATGCCAAAAAAGCTTGCACTGGAGCAATGAAACTTCACAAAAAATATCTAAAAAAGGTACTGCAATTTCTTTTTTCTTTCATAGCAGTGGTGGATATAATGATGTTGCTATCAAATTGTCATGCGTGTATTTGTGCATTTGCTGTCTCTGTGCATGGGCTCACTTCAGGTATTCTTATAGTAATCACTTAAACTCATCATTCATGGATCTGTTGCTGCAGGCCAAGAAGCCATAGCATCAGTTTTGCACACGATTTTTTGGCCACCCGAGAAGTAATACGATGATGTTCCGTACATTCTTATACCTTATGTAGCAAAGAGATTATAATTCACATAATCTTGGCACAGAGTTGACAGAGCTGCACAGTTGGTCCAATCTGCAAAATATTCCCACGAGCAATTGTTGTTTTTGAAATTAGTCCCAATTATTTGTATATTGAAAGCATTCTTTATAGGTCTGTATTTTGTATAACCCTAAACGAGGCCTATATTTTGTATAATTTTACGTCGTATTTAATAATATTATGAGAGAAAATAAGTTTATGCTTGCAGTGCTCCAACCCTAATCAATCAAATTAATTTGGCCTATAGTTTTGAGCCATAAGTATAAAATCGGTTTTGCATGTATAGTCTGTTATCTGCATTTTTCTAGTTACTGCTCCAACATTTTTGGAACTTATATACTACAAACGAACATATTAGACATCCTACGAAAACACAAACATATTTGATACTTTTTCACAGAGCCTTTTTGTCATTATCCTTTAAAGAAATAATATATTTTCATAGGGTGGACGGATCGGCTTGCGTCGATGATTTTTCTGTTTGGGTGCGGGAATAGAGAGGTAAATACCTTTTCATTTTCCCTTTTTTTTTCTTCCACAAATCATGGTCGGGTTACGCTAATCATTCTAAATTAAGCGTCTTTGTACTTAATGGGGGTAATTTTCACTTTGCTAATCGAAGAGACTTATTTGATATTTTCGTACACAAACTTTGGTTTCCTTATTATTTCATATCTTTCGTCGTTTTTGCTGTCAAATGGTCTGTTAACACACGATGTAGCAATATATCGACAGCAAATTATTTAAAATAATGAAATATGTTATTGAAAATTTAAAAACAAGAAAACATGTCACTCTCTTCCCAATCCCCTCCACCCACTGGCGTACCCATGAATTTTTTTTAGTGGAGGTGCAATTTTGAAAGGATAAAAGTTTTATAAATTTTTTTGAATAAAATAAACAAATCATACTTGATCGTACTTTGAGTCGTGCATCGTGTAGCCTTTTCCTCCTTGAGTTTACTACTAAATACTAATCATAATAGCCAAATAAAAAAAATAAAAAAGAAGAAGCATATTACAAAAAACAGGGGAGGGGGGGGGAGAAGAAGAAACGAATTGGCTTTTGGTCAAGAAGGAAAAAGAAAAAAGAAAAAAAAAGCACAGTGTACTTACTTTTGGTGAAGAAGGAAAAAAACGTGGCAATAGCAAACAAATTGATTTCCATCTTTTTAAATAAGAAATAATGTTTAAAGACTTTTTAAAGCTCACGAAATGCAGGCCTAAGCATGTTATTGAAAAAGCCCATGAATTGCAGTCTGGTTTCCTCTTCTTTTTTTTCTTTTTTGTGTGGCCCAAAACAACGTCGTTTTGGCCAGTACTTTAAAAAGTATATATATATTAGTCGCGTTGCGCAGGTTGCAGCGCAGCGCAACAAATAGACTTTGGGTGAGTCATTTTGTCGAACACCTGGAGTGCACCACCACCAATTGAGCATATGGGCAATTTGAAGCACATACAATTGTATTTCCTACGAGGGGAAGTGCAGTTGCACCTCCTTGCACCTTAATAGGTCCGCCACTGCCTCCTCCCCCTCCTAGCACAACCGCTACAACTCCCCTCCAAGCCACCACCCCAAAATCATCGTCCCCTCTTCGTCATCCAAAACCAACACCCCTCTCCACCCGACCACAGTCTGGTGGTGTGGGGTCGAGGTGAGGTAGTGAGGTGGGACGGGATAGATGACCCATTAGGGTTGAGTTTTTCAATTTCTATCGTACTAATTATTTCATTTAAGAAGTCCGTTAGAGATGCGTGCTCTTATAATTGAACCAAACAGAAGTGCTTTCGAATAGCAATTGACCTCAAGTATCAAATTTGAGCTAGCTAAATTTAGACTCTTTAAGAAAAAGAACAAAAAGAGAAGCTATGTTTCATCAAGAACCCGCTTTCGAGTACTACTTGAACCTCCTTCAAGTGAACAAACATCGTGAGAAGAGTGATCCAAACAAGCCATTTGAAAGAGAGAATATTTGGATATACCGTCAAGTAGTTCGAGTAAGAAGAACTTAGTTTAAGGGAGGATATACTAGGGAAGAGGAGGCACTTGATGATACCACATAGCCTCTCCCATACCCTACCAACTACCAAGGCATCACCATGAAATCTTTATATGTTTATTGTTTTCCATTCACAGAAAATAATTTGCAGGGAAATCTGGATAAGGAGCATTCTTAATATATTCTTTATAGAGATTGAAATTAATACAGACACAAGTTGTCATACACTCCATGATCAATCCACATAAGACCAGTTGCTTGGCAATTAGAACACACCAGAAACACAATACACATAGCAGACAAACTTATAGATGATGTAATATCCAGATAACATGTTCTATCCTGAGCGTATAGGGAGATGTATTCTGCAGAGACTTGAGTTGCTGCAACAGCTCAGAAACCATGAATTTTGATGTTGTCTTTCTTCACAATGCCGGCATGTAGAGAGAAAACGAGAATCAAGATCAGATTCCTCTAAATTGTTGCATTTTCAAACCATCTAATATAACTATGATGCCAAAAACTGGAAACAATCAAGCAAGCACTTCCACAACTTAACACGACCTATAGAACACATTGAACATCATCTAAACCATTTTTTGGACTAGTAACTACCTCGATGATAAAGACATAGGCCGTCTGCCAAAACGTCTGAAGGGAAACGTAGGCCATCTGCAAAAACTTCCTAAAGGGAGATGTACGTAACCGCCAAAACGTCCTAAGAGAGACGTAGGCCATCTGCCAAAATGTCCTAAGAGAGACATAGGCCATCTGCCAAAACCTCCTAAAAGAGACGTAAGCCATTTGCCAAAACTTCCTAAGGGAGACATAGGTGATCGGTGCATATTTATATATCATTTTGTACCCTTCTAACTTATGATTTGATTATGTTATTGAGTTAAACTTGTGCTTTTAATCCCTTTTCTGTTTATCATTTAGTTCATTGGGCCTTAAGTAGCAATGGTGGCTTTGGATAGGAAAAGATGCAAAATGGTGCAAAAACGAGCAGACTGAGTTAGCAATTTGTTTCGGCCT